GTTCGAACACCGAGTTTCCTTGAAAGCATCATCGCTGAAACAAAGCCGATTGGAAGTATTTACACTTCAGAGCCAAAATCGACGGATTCGGCGGATCTAGAATCCGGAGAGGAAACTCCAGAACATCCGGCGAGTAAACATCACCAACTGTCTCCAACCGCAGCAATGCCTGACAAAGCAGAGATAAGAACAGCTACGACTATCGGCACGCTTATTACGGCATTACCATCTGAAGATCTCTCGCTAACAGAGACGAAAGGCGATGTTATTGGAAAAGACTCCCCAATCGACCTTGATAAAACAGAAGTGACAACAAAAGAAACCCGTGATTTGATTACCACTGAGGAAAAGCCCGATCAGAGAGTTCGAACACCGAGTTTCCTTGAAAGTATCATCGCTGAAACAAAGCCGATTGGAAGTATTTACACTTCAGAGCCAAAATCGACGGATTCGGCGGATCTACAATCCAGAAAGGAAACTCCAGAACATCCGGCGAGTAAACATTACCAACTCTCTCCAACCGAAGCAATGCCTGACAAAGCCGAGCTAAGAACAGCTACGACTATCGGCACGCTTATTACGGCATTACCATCTGAACATCTCTCGCTAACAGAGACGGAAGGCGATGTTATTGGAAAAGACTCACCAATCGCCCTTGATAAATCAGAAATGAGAACAAAAGAAACCCACGATTTGATGGCCACTGAAGAGAAACCCGATCAGAGAGTTCGAACACCGAGTTTTCTTGAAAGCATCATCGCTGAAACAAAGCCGATTGGAAGCATTCACGCTAGAGAACCAATATCGATCGGGAGGGAAGGTCTGGAATCCAGAAAGGATACTCCAGAACATCCTGCGAGAAAGCATCAGGACCTCTCTCCAACCGAACCAATTCCTCACAAAGCAGAGATAAGAACACCTACGACTATCGGAACGCTTATTACGTCATTACCATCTGAACATCTCTCGCTAACAGAGACGGAAGGCGATGTGATCGGAAAAGACTCACCAATCGCTGTTGATAAAACAGAAGTTACGCGAAAAGAAACCCATCATCTGATTACCACTGAAGAAAAACCTGATCCTAGCGTTCGAAGACCGAGTTTCCTTGAAAGCATCATTGCTGAAACACAGCCAATTGGAAGTATTTACACTACAGAACCAAAAACGGCGGATAGGTCGGATCTGAAATCCAGGAAGGATACTACTGATCATCCTCCAGGTGAAGGTCAACATATCTCTGGACACGAAACAATGGCTGATACAGTAGAATTAAAAGCCCCTACGACTGTGGGAAGGTTGGTTAGAGTATTGCCATGTGCAGATGTTTCTCTGACAGAGGCGGAAGCCGATACCGTCAGAACAGACGCACCAGTGGCTCTTGATAAAACAGAAGTGACAACAAAAGAAACTCCTGATCTGTTTCCCACTGAGGGAAAACCTGATCAGAGCGTTCGAAGACCGAGTTTTCTCGAGAGCATCATCGCTGAAACAAAGCCGATTGGAAGCATTTACACTACAGAAACAATATCGACGGATAGGACGGATCTGGTGTGTAGAGAGGATACTGCAGAACATCCTTTGGATAAAAGTCAGGAGATCTCTGCAAATGAATCAATGGCCGATGCAGCAGGGAGAGAAACACCTAGGACTGTCGGAGCGGTGGGTCAAGCATTAGCATCTCCGTATCACTCTCTTAGAGAGACAGAAGTGCCACGACATGAAACTGCTGATCTGATTACCACTGAAGAGAAACCTGATCGAAGCGTTCGAAGACCGAGTTTTCTTGAGAGCATCATCGCTGAAACAAGGCCGATCGGAAGTGTTTACACACCGGAAGCAACATCGACACTGATTCCGGGCCTGAAAAGTGACGAGAGTACCGGAGAATTCCATGTCGATGAAGGTCAGCCGATCGCATCATCTCAACAAAAGCCCAATGATGTGGAAGCAAACAGAGCTCCGAGTGTGAGTACTATGGTCACAATACTACCACCACTAGTCAGCGCCATCATCGACACGCAAGGCGATGTCGTTGAAAAAGATACAGCAGCTACGTTTGAAAGAAACCTGAACTCAGAAGAAACTGCTGAGTCGTCGACTAATGAAGGAAAACGTGATCCAAGCGTTCGAAGACCAAGTTTCCTTGAAAGCATCATCGCTGAAACTAAGCCGATTGGAAGCATTTACATTACAGAACCTATATCGGTGGAACGTGGGGATGTGAAACCTGGGAAGGATACTGGAAAACATCCTCCGAATGAAACAATGACCGGTACAGCAGAGTTAAAAACGCCTACGACTGTCGGAACGCTGGTTACGGCATTACCATCTTCACATCTCTCTCTAACAGAGATGCAAGCCGATGTCATCGGAAAAGACGCAGAAGTTGCTGTTGAAAAAACAGAAGTGACACAAAAAGAAGCCCTTGATTTCATCACCAGTGAAGAGAAACCTGAACCGAGCGTTCGTAGATCGAGCTTTCTTGAAAGCATCATCGCTGAAACAAAGCCTATCGGAAGTATTTACATACCTGAGGCACCATGGTCGGTCAATGTAGAGGGAATAAGTGACAAGGGTACGGCAGAGCACAGTTTGGATGCAGTTGAGAAAATCTCATCACCTGTTGAAAAGTCTAATGCGACGGAAACACAGCACCATGTCATCGGCAAAGACATACTGGATGCACTGGAAGGAAAAGCCAGCTTGGAGGAAACTGCGGATCCAACTATCATCGAAGGAAAACCTGATCCGAATGTCCGACGACAGAGTTTTCTTGAAAGCATCATTGCTGAAACAAAGCCTATCGGAAGTATTCGCACCCCGGAATCAACATCTATAATCACGGCAGATCTGAATGATAGCAAGGATATAATAAAGCATGCTCTGGATGTAAGTCAGCATTTCTCTTCAACTGAAAAGAATGACGACGAAGTGGAGAAATATAGAATTGGTCGTTCCAAATCAATAACTAGAGCGCTACTGTTGCCAGGTATTTCGTTAATCGAGACGCAACCCGATCTTGTTGACACAGACAAACCCATGCCTGTTGAAAATAAAGTGGCTTTTGATGGAGCTGCTGGTTCAAGTAGCACTGAAACAATACTTGATTTGGGCCCTGGACTTCAGAGTTGTCTTGAAAGAATTGTCGCTGAAACGAAGCCTATTGGAAGGAATTATACAGTGCAGCCAACACCAATCACCACTGCACAATCTGAAGATAGCAAGAATACGATGGAGCACACTCTTGATGAAAGTCAGCATATCTCGTTTACGGAAGGAAAATCTGCTGGTGAGGAAACAACCACATCTAGAGGTGTCAAAACAATGGTTACACTACTGCCGTCATCAGATCTCTGCATTACAACAAAGGACAACGAAATCATGAGCAAAGATACATCAACTGCACTTGAAACAAAAATTGGTTTAGAAGAAACTGCGGAACCATCTGCACATGAATTACATCCTGATCCCAGTATTCGACGCCCGAGTTTCCTTGAAAGAATCGTAGCTGAAACAAAGCCTATCGGAAGCATTCACGCACCGGAATCTACATCAACGACCAGGACGGATCTAAAAAGTGACAAGACTACGACAGAAGACACGTTGAATGGAGCTCAGCATGTCGCATCAGTTGAAATAAAGCCTAATGAACAAGAGAAAAACGGACCTGCGAGTGTAAGTGCGATCGTTAGGGTAGTGGCATTACCAGACCACTTCAACACTGAGACGCAGCCCGATGTCATCGCAAAAGGCACATCGGCTTCATTTGAAACAAAGGCGAGTTCAGAAGAATTGGCTGGTCCAGATAACTATGAAGCAAAACCGGATTCGAGTGCACGACGCCAGAGTTTTCTTGAAATGATCGTTGCTGAAATAAAGCCTATTGGAAGCATTTATACATCGGAACCAACATCGACCAGCACGGGAAAATCTGAAGGTAACAAGAACACAATGGAGAACACTCTCGATGGAAGTCAGCATATCTCATCCACTGCAGAAAAGTCGGTAGAGATGGAGACAAACACACCTAGAAGTATCAGAACATTGGTTACTGTACTACCATCACTAGACTCCTCTCTTCCGGAAACACACACCAATGCTTTCGATAAAAACAGGTTATCTTCTATGGAAACAAAAGCGACACAAGGGGAAACTGTTAATAGAACTATCAATGAAACGAAATCGGACCTAGGCGCCGGGCCGCAGAGTTTTCTTGAGAGAATCGTAGCTGAAATGAAACCCATGGAAAGCATTAACACACTGGAAACTATGTCAACCGATAGGGAGAATCTCAAACGTAGCAAAGATTCGGCAGAAAAAACGTTGGATGATAGTCAGCATATGTCATCCACTGAAGCAAAGTCTGACAGGAAGCAGGAAAATATACCAGAGAGTGTCAGAACATTGGTTACAGTACTACCATCACCAGACCTCTCACTTTCACAAACAGAGCACGATGTCATCAGCAAAGACACACCAGCTTGTGTTGAAAGAAAAGTGACAGAAGAAGAAACTGCCGATCCAACTGATGCCGGAAGAAAATCTGATGTTGGTGCTCAACCTCAGAGCTTTCTTGAGAAAATCGTCGCTGAAATAAAGCCTATAGAAAGCATTTATACACTCGAGCCAACAGCGACCGGAGTTCGAGAATCGAAAAGTAGCAAGGATTTGGGAGAACACACTCTGCATGAAGGTCAGCACATGTCATCAACCGAAACAAAGTTTGATAGCACGATGAAAAACAAACCTTTCAACGTAAGAACGATAGTTACAGTACTACCGTCAACAGATCTCACTATGAGAGAAAGCCAACACGATGCCAACGGCAACGTTATACCGCCTGTAGCTGAAACCAAAGTGGGTTTAGAAGAAATTGCTGACCTAACTACCCATGAAACAAAGCCTGATCTGGGGACTTCACGTCAGAGTTATCTTGAAAGAATTGTTGCGGAAACACAGGCCATCGGAAGTATCGTCACGGCCATACCAACACCAAGTGGTTTGAAAGACGAAAAAGATAGCAAGGATACAACAGAGCACACTTTGGATGAAGGTAAGCAAATCTCACCAATAAAACTGATGCCTGATGGAGCTGAGCAAGAGTCACCTCTGAGTGTCAGAACAGTTGCTACTATAGTGCCGTCGGTAGATCTTTGTGCCGTGGGAAAGCAGGACGATGTCATTGAGAGTAGAAATCCTGTTGAGAGGAAACGAGAAGTTACGACGATGGAAAAGGTTGAACTCTCCACATCCGAAAGGAAACACGACGCTATTGAGAGAGAAAAATCGGTCGACAGTAAAGCAATAGCAGATACAGTACCTCTACTATACCTATGGACACATGAGAGCAAACCTGGATCGGATAGTCAGCCAAAAACTCTCGTAGGAAGTTTAATGACAAGAACAATGCCTTTGGATAGAATTTTCACGCCAGAAACTATAGGTAAGCATACTGCTCACGAGGAAACAACTGCCGGCACCACGAAAGTCGTTCAGGAGCGATCTGAGGATAGCTTACTGCCTGAAAGGAAGCCTGATGCCGTCTCTAAGGACACGCTCACGGTTGTTACTAAAATAGGCACAACAAAACCTACGGTTGATTTATCGACACGTGTCCGGAAACATGGTCTCGTCGATGAAGAGAAGCCTGATAAAGTTGACAGAGTTGTGAAAACATTAGTGACTGCTGATGGATCACCTGAAGAAACGAAACACGATGTGATTGATAAAGAGAAAGTGGTTGAACGTATGCCACTAGTAACATCGTTAATAATTGCAGCCGTTCCAGATCCAGACACGATACAGGATGCCAGTGATAAACAGAAAGCGGTCGAAGTTAAACCATTAGCGAAAACAGTAGGAGTCGATGATCCACTTAAACATGAAACGAATGCTGGTTTGGGTGGTCGACCAAAAACTCCTGTTGAAAGATTAATGGCGAGAACAATACCTCTCGGTCGAATTTACACACCAGAAATTATAATCGGTCGCACATCCGCAGATAAAACTCTCCATCATGCTGCAGAAGTGGCGCCAGATGAAGTTGCAATAATGGCATCGCCTAAAATAAAGCCTGATGCCACTGATAAAGATACATCTTTGGATGTTTCCAGAATGGAGACAACTTTACCGAGTGCCCGTAAGTTAACACCAGAAAAGAAACACGATGCCGTGGATATGGAGAAATTCTCGAAGAATACAACAATTAGTGCTTCAGTCCCAGTTGTAGATATATCTGCCTTTGAAACAAAACATGCGATGCCCGTTGAAACGAAACCTGTCGTTGAAACTCTAGTAGAAAAAACACATCCTATTACAAGTATGATAGCATTTGCAGCGAAACCTGAACATGAAGACAGAGACAACAGAATCAAAGATACGTCAAAAGTAACATCAACTACCACTGAAAATATTTCCTTGCCGGAAGTGAAGTCTATTGTTACTGATAACGAGAAAACTTCCAAAGTCGCCAGAATAGGTGAAAGCTTACTGACCGGCGATATCTCCGCGCCTGAAACAAAAGATGATGTTATAATAGAAACAATCGCAGAAACTCTAGGATTTGATCAACCGAACTTAGACAAATCTGCGATATCCTTAAAATCGGATTCATTGAATGCAGGTAAAATAGCTGCTAAACCTGAAACAATGACTTCTATACCAAATAAAGAAGAAGAGTATCATGATCCAACAACGCCATCATTTGACACCACAATACATGCAATCAAATCAAGTCTAAAACTTGAAGAAATAAAGCCAGAGAAAGAAAATCAAATAAAAGTGGAAAAGAATTTAGATATAAATGATTCTACGACGCAGCTCTTCGACGAAACTCTACGTTTACACTCATCTGTAGTCCCCATCATTGAGGTTACTGCCATAAATGAACCAGACGAAGAATCCGACGAAGAATATTTCGATGCTTATAATGAATTAACAGATTCTTCAAAGGATCACATATCGGAAACTTCTGTTCTTCGTCAAAATATAACTGAAACATCAACATTAGACGCAGCAAACATTCAAACAACGACTATTGATGATGTCAATGAATCAACTATAGATCATATATACGAAATAATTACTTCTGAAGCCACAATAATGGCTAGTCGTCTATTATCTGACGTGATGCATGACATCGATTTTATTTTAAGTGATCAATCCCTTATGATCTCCATCTCAGATACAGATAGTACATCGGATGGGGAAGAACGATATTCTCCAATATCTAATGACTCCACTTTGGAAAGTGCAGACATGAATACAACAGCCATGACAACGATTGAAGGTGATGAATTGTTACATAGTAAAACGTTATCTGATATTGATAGTATTTTACCAACTACGTTTGTAGATGATCTTACACTTACTGCAGAACTTTTAGTTTCTAAAATATTAGCATTGGCTACAAATCCGACCGTATTTGAATCAAATGAACCGTTGAATATAAATGAAATTTTTCCGTTAGTACCAATCCTAACAATCAAAGAGAAAGAATCTTCTGATCATATTTCTGTCATATTGAAACAAAACGAAGATTACATTCATGAAGTTGAACCAATGGAATTATTGATTTTACCGACTTTAATGATACATAATGATGATCAACTACATCTAAAACTAGATAATATTAGTGATATCAATCAGCAATCTTTTTATTTATTAGCAATGTCTACCGATTATGACTTAGAAACAGCAGTTATGGATTATATTTCACCCGAGCAGTCCATGACAATTGAAGAAGCTTTTGCCTCGAATAAAGAAAAAATGAATAGAATCATATCGATAGATTATATGGAACCTGTTTCTAATGATATGAATGAAGATAAAAAACAAGTATCATCAACTACGGCTTATCACGATGTGTTAACAAATTCATCATACATCCAACCAATATATTCGGCAAACATAATATTTCAATTTGATACTATCACGTTTAAAAATGAAAATATTTCTACTCGATCACTCAATTACAATGAAATATCAATTCAAGCTAAGCCAGAAAAATCTTCTGACAAAAACCATTAGTAGCAAAACTTCATCAAGCATGAACTCTAGTGGACTCTAATAATTATCTAGAATCAAAGATAAATTTTATTAAAACTGCTTATATTGATAGTTAGCAAAAAGTTCAAATAAAAAGTATATAACTAAGCTATTTGTCTATACACGAATATGTCATGAGTTAATGACTGAACGCTTGCTTCAGAAGTTTTGCATGTTACATGATAGCATTATAAGAATTAGTAAAATATTCATTCTCTTATAAAAGAGTTCGCCAGACGACCAATTAAACTTACATAGAATGATCCGTCGATAAGTTTGTTACTTCCAATAAGAGATCATATTGTGAAACTTATAAATTCAAAGTATTAGGTTATTGTGATGTATTTGTAAAAAATGCCGAAGATCACAATCTTCCCACCTGTTGTAGTGAGACTAAATGTTTTAAAAAATGGTTGTTTCACAGTTTGATTTTTTTTGCTAGTAATATATATCTAACCTTGTCGTGTCATAGCGCCTCAAAAAAAACACAGAATTCAGATCCTGAAAGTTCTTGAAATTTTGGATCTTTTGAGACACTACTGGCAAGGTACAAAGACATCCATGGGATTTTAGTAGGAACAATAATAAGTGCATCGTCATCATTCTCAATAACTATTTTGAGGAAGTATTAAAATGATATTTGGTTGAATATACGCTTTATAAAGTTGAAAAAATAAGGTCACGGAGAGATAACTTAAATACATCTCAAAGTAAATATACATAGTCATTCGGATCGATTTATCTAGTTTCCGATAAAATTAGATGAAATGAAGTATCTTATCTTCCTTCAGATCATTACACTCCAAACTTCATACGTATTTGTTTTAATTTTCTTAGATGTTGTTTTCATATTGAGAAAATTGAAATTTTTTTCGCACCAATAGCAAATCCATATCAACTGCGCTCGTTTTTAATAATGTTCATAATTATAGTTAATTTTTACAGCAAAAGTCAATAACACATTCGAAATCAGCGCAAAAAAAACTACATCAGATTGAATATCTTTTATTAAGATGTGTTTGTTATGAAAAAGTAGTCCGAAGGAATACCACGACCAAATTTTTCGTAAAAAAATGTTGCGAGGGAGTGCAGACGAGTTTTATTTGAAAAATAAATTTTGCTAACATATATTTGATTCGATTTAGGTTTTGTGCTGATTTCAACTATGCTATATTCTGTAAAAAATAACTGCTCAACATGAACACCATTTTAACAGTTTTGTATGGTTTTGCTACTTAGCGCAACCAATGTAGTTTCTACTAAAAGTTCATGGATGTCTTTATACCTTGTCAGCAGTATTTCAAAAGATCTGAAATGTCAAGAACTTGCAGGATCTAAATTTCTTTGTTTTCTTTTTGAGGCGCTATGGCACGACAAGGTTAGTAGTAAATTACTAACAAAAGGACGATTATCAAGCATCCACACCCCTTCCCTTATGGATGTATGATCGATTACGAAAATTTATTATAATGACAACTGCTATAGTTCATTTTGTAGAAAATTCTTTTGTGGCATCTTTTGCAACCTTCTCTAACCCACAGCACCGATCAGAGATAGGAAGAAAATCTCTAAAAAAAAACATCAAAATATGAAACAAGCACTTTTCGCAAAACATCTAGTCTCACTGCAAAAGATTGGAACATTGCGATCTTCGGCATTTTTTACAAATACATCAGAAAAATTTAATATTGTGAATTCATAAGTTTCACAATATGATCTCTTATTGAAGCCAAAGAAACAATTTAGCGGCGAGCTATTTCGATGATGGTCTGCCGGATTCTCTGTTCAAATATAAAATTCAATTTTAGAAACAGTTTTATTGAATATATTTTGTAGTTTCTAAAAGACAAATTATATTCTATCGCAGTGATCGTTTGTCGTCTATTCATTTTGGTTTATATTTAATATCACAGAATCCAGAATAACTGAATTGAAGAAAATGAAAATGTCCTAGAAAAAAGAAACTGTTGTTGCAGAAAAAATTTATGGAAAATTGAAGAATAGAGAAAATTGCATGTTCATTTACTAGAAGCACTTTTTTTTTATTTTTTTATTTTTATGATTTTTTTTAAGTAAAAAGCACAAAAGCACAGGAAGAATTTTTAATACGACAGCCGTATAGTGAGAATAATCGAAGAGCGCAGATGTTATATGTTCAACTATTTCAACATAATCGTCAAGATTATTTAAAACAATATCAACGTTCTCATTTATTAGCTCATGAAAACATTTCACTTTCTAGTAATCAATATAATGAAAAATTTCCAAATATATCTCAACAAGCAACACCAAATGTTGACTATCAACGTAATCCAACGTTATTCTTTCTATCTAGAATACCATCATTAGATATGGTTAGTTAAAATTTCTTTTTTAACAAATAGTTATTTCACCACAAGTGTTGTTTTTTCTTTGTTCTACGTATGTATGTATTTGTAAAAAAAAAAGAAAAGGAGAATATTTTTATTGATTTAATTAACAACGAGGTCACCTATACCATCTAACAAAACACATGCGTGTTTTAATAAAGAGAAAGGAAAAGGCAAAAGCAAAAGTAAATGTAATAAAACATTGTTTTGCCTGAAGAACCTATCTTGTTTATGTAACAGAACGAGCAGTCTACCATCAAACATAGAGTAATTGAAAAGGGACGAAAAAGGATATTCGATAGACATAGAAGTTGCATTTATTTTCTATAATAATAAACAACAAAAATATGTTCTATTAGTTAATAATGAACCTTCAGTTCAAGGGCAATGCTCGAGTTCAATCTGCATTTCTTTGGCGAGACTATTCGGGTAATGTAGGTATAGCTTATAAGATGTGCTCTTGATTTTTTACTATTCTCATACACAATTATTTTGTGTTATTCTTTCTGTTCTTTTTAGAAATCAACGACCGAGCATCAACAAAAAACAGGAAATAAAGATTCTATGACAACTGTAAGTTTCACTTACTATTTTATATTTAATATCAATAGATATAGACGAAATACAATACTGAATTACTTTATCTAATTCTTTAATACAAAATATTTAATATGAATATCATATTGACAAAATTTTTTTTTTATCCAATAAATTGTTCGAGAGATGAAAGCTTCAACTTCCCATTGAGCACAAATGATTGAAATAGAAAAAATATAAATATTGAAATCATTTATTATTTTATTTAAATAAACTTTCAAAATATCAAACAGATTTATTGCGAAACAAAAAAGTCAAAAAACATGAAAAATAAACAACTGATTTTATATATAGTTTAGTTTCTATTCGACTTTGATCTAACTCATAGAAAATAATAATATTTTGAATAGATTTTTTTGTTAATTTTTATTCAGTTAGGTGTTTAGTTTTTTCTAAGAAACACTTATGACAGTCGTAGATTTAGGACAAGGAACGATCTCCTGTCTTTAAGAAATTTTTCTAAGCCAAAAGGAGTTTACATTACTTTGAATCATCGCAAAAAGTATATGGTATCTATAATCATCCATTTCAGTTTCAAAACTCTAAGTCTTCTACTGACTTAGAAATTTTGTTAACACTTTTTTTTTAATTTCATGACAAATAGAACTTTCATACTAGATTGTCGAATAGAATAAACTACGTGAAAGAACTAAGAGCTGCTTGGTAAAGTTCTTGTTTTCTGTACAAGAAACAGTATGCAATTGATGTACGAGAAGATCTTTGAGCAAGACTTTTTAATCTACCTAGCGTTGTAATATAACCAAACTTTTTAATATTTTGTGCAACACTCATCGAAAAAAAATGAATTGCTGAAAACCGTTCAAACTTTCAGTGTCTTCGCAACAAAATAATTATTTATTAAGTGTCTCATTGTACTGTCGGAGGGTGTCTCTGAAGAAAACACCGACTAAGTTCAGTCTCCCCAAACCTAAGAGGTTCGCCGTCTATGACTCCAATCAACAATAAAGAACGATTTCTTAGCTAATTTATTCTCTGAGATCAAATAATAAATTGTATTAATGTCGACGCAGAAGTCATTTGTACATAAATAAAAATATAAATCATGTAAATGAATACTCTGTTTAATTAAAAATTACAAGCGTGTATTATGTTGTCTTGATTGAAATGAAAACTATTTCGTAATTTTCTACCCAATTAAAAAAGAAATTCGTTAAAATTTATTTTTAACCTAAAATTCTATTTTGCCTGTGTCACATATTCATATAAAGATCGAAACTTTTACATTGAAATTTTACAACTGTACCTAGCAAATTTTTCTATAGTTATAAAAAATGTTTACACTTTACGAATATTCCTTCCTATGCATGCGCGTATTTGAATTGTTTCATCTCTCAAATTATCGACTGATTCTCCTTCAAGATTTAACGAAATTTCTTGATAGAGCTTCCATGAATATTTATGTTTCACATTACACAACACAAAATAATCTCACAACTTTACTTCAATTATTTAATATAAATAGATAATAGTTATGTTACGAAGAGTCTATCAAGAGTTGTCATTGACTCAAAAAGTGTCAGATGCTTCCTTTAAGGAGATATGGGAATTTGAAGGATCATAGGTCCTTCTTCCCGCAAAACTCTCTGATTCATTTTTACGAACTGTAATTTTCCATCAGAACTAGGATTAAATTAAGATCTGCGTTTTGTCATTTCTTTTAAAATATATCGCTCCTAGAGAGGTCAAGAGAAGCAAGATATTCGACATACCGTCAAAAAGGCGTTTTTTTTTCAATATTACTCATTTTTAAAGGTTGCCGAGTTTCGTATGAACAACATTTTGAAAAAAACAACACATACTCTAATTTGACCAAAGTATTCATACAAAAAATATTAGAGCTCAATTGGATGTACCATGTCGAAGGTAATGGGAAGAACTCTTTTAGAAAGACGGAAAATAAACTCCATGCTTTATGCTCTTAGCAATATTGAAATGATACATAATGATTATGATTAGGAGAATTCTGCATACAAAGCATAATATCACAGCACGAGTTTTTCTACTACAATTTTCGATAGTTCGGTTGATTGAAAATCATTGAATAGAAAAATTTTGATCTTGGAGTGAAGCGAAAAGAACAACTACACTTATATCCTCACCTAAAATTTTCAGACAAAATCTTAGATCCGACGTATTGTAACTGATCGATCCGAGAATAATCTGAATTAATACCCGTCCAATGTCGAATCCAAGGTCACATAATAACATACATCTAAATTTTAATATATTCAAAATAAAAGCAACCGCATGTTCATTAAGTCATTGCTTTGTCTGCCTGACGACGAGCGACGGTCGACAAAATAAAGCTTTTAATCGTTTCATAAAGCATGAAAACATTAGAAAAAAAGAATTCTTATTTTTGCGCAAGTATTTTCTTTTTCATTTTTGCATACAGTTGTATATTTGGTGGAAAAAAGAAATTTATTTCAAATCGAAAATAAGTAGAAAGTAAATATTAAATACTGTTTGATTATGTATATTTATTCTTAACTGATGATTCAATAGAAGAATATATTTTAACAATCAGATAAGATAGTTTATTCAAACTGATACTAATTCGTTTCTACTCTAAATAGAATACACATATTTTGCAAATTTCTTTTCTTTCAAATCGATATGTATTCGATTTTCATACATATTGTGCCTTTTGTTAACAAAATTTAGCAATTTATTAATGCAAATAATGTCATAGAAAAAAAAATTGCTTTTATTATAGAACTATTTCTATCACAATATAGAAATACAACAATTCTGATTAGTCTACTAAAACTTTTATTCTATGTTAATGATTGCTTGAAAATGATTTATAAGAAAGAAATATTTTATTTTTATAGTTACATAGAAGTTCAATAACAGATTATAACAAAAAAGTATCAAATGAACATAGTGAAAAATTTTCCACCTTCGCTCGTCATCAAGCATATAGTAATGTATATCGATTAGCCCAATCTACGACAATAGGGTAAGAAAATGTTATATATATATGCCTATATATATATATATATATTTATTGTTTTATATTAGAAATCATTTGATATCCAATTCAATTCACACTGAATTTGATAGACCAACAACAGCTCCACTTATATTTGAAACAACTATTCATCGACCAGTATCTGAAAAGATAAAAACTGCTATGTTATCTCGTTCACCAACACCATTACGAAATGCACGTTTAGTAGATTCATCAGATAATTATGATAATACAAGACATGCATTGTACTATCAATTAAAATCACCAGTATTCAAAAGTGACAATCATTTTATACAACAATCTTCTCATATAAATACAAGTATTCCTATGAATGAAACTATAAATACAAATAGTTATAATAGTTTTATTGATTTACCTGTTGATACTAATTCACATGGTATAACAACAGTAAATTATGATGATGAACCACAAATACTTTATCGTAATACTCAACACAAAGTAAATAATATAAAATTGTTTCTTTTGTTTTTCTATTTCATTTTATTTTAGATGAGTGGTTTTCAACATATTGCAAATTTAGGTAGTTGGCAACGTAATTCAAAAAATAGACAAATAGAATCATTAGAAAAATCGAAAGAAATAGAACGTGAATATGAAATTTCAAAAAATATTGATCAATCTTCATTGAATTCATCATCATCATCAACAACAACAACTTATGAATATAAAAGTCCATTTTCTGAAGAATATGATCAAGCTATTTCTTTACATACACATTATCAAACAAATAATAATATTAATGAATGGCATTTAAGAGATTTTTATCGTGATGTTAAAACACAATTCGAACCAGACACAAATACTAAAGTAGTTTTTGAAAAATGTCTCAAATTAGCAAGGTAATACAAAACAAAAAAAATGAATAGCTCTTAACAGAAGAATAATTTCATAATATTAACAAGAGTACATGTTCAATCTCCTCTCATACCATACTATTAAATCTTCAACTGATTGAATACTCAAGTTAAAACTTCATAGAATAATCAGTTCTGATATTCTGTTACACGTGTGTTAAGACTTAGAATTCCAGACAATAATAGATATTTCAAAGCAAAAATATAATGATCAAAATTATGTAGTACAGTATTTTGTAAATGAATCATGTAGTTTCTTCTCAAAACTATTGGAAAAACTGATTTTCGAATTCCCACTTGAAACTTTACACAGAAACAAGATCTTAATAAAAATATTTTATATAAACAAATAGATTTGACACTATTATTTCAAGATTGAAGTATAACAAAAGACGTGAAATTTTCACAATAAACTATTCTCTTTGAGGCTTGTCTTTCTGCAAAATATCAAGTTAGAATTCAAAAATCCGTTTTTCTATTGCTCTGGAAGAGACTCGAACGTGATTTGTTAGTTGGAGAACTTTTCTTGTTAGATATCATGTGAAAGTACATCTTTACCTGATCAATTGATTTTGAATTCAGACTCCTTAGGCTTTCTATCGGTGTGTTATTAGAATTTTAGGATCTGGCATGATATATACCAACAAATCAAATATCAATGCATCAACCTGACATTTTGCCAATACATAGGTCTATTTGTTATTAGAATACGCAGAAAATTGCAGTTCTAAAAAAGTCAATACCAGCATCTTTCATGGAATATAATTTTAAATTCTCGGGAAAGAAAAATTCTTTTGAACTAAAGTTTGCAAAGTATTTTACTAACAAACAGATCTGTCTGTTAGCAAAATCTCAGATCGATATATTATCATTCTAGATGTTGATATATGTATCAAGCTAGAGGATATAACTCGATAGATTATAAGATTTCCTTAGGCTGACAGACTTTGATCTATAGCTGAAACGATAAAAAATTTTTCTTATTAACATATATCTTTCTTTTTTTATTATGATTATTTTTGAAGATTACAAGCAAATACAATCAAATGGGAACAACGTCGTCGGCAAAATTTAATTATATATAATCGTCTTCTAAAAAATGGTACATTTGATAATAATAATAATAATAATGAAAAAGAAATTCGAGATATAAATGAATTAAAACGTGAATTACGTTGTAATGAATGTAAACGTTTAGCATGTCTTGGTAATTGTGCACCAGGTAATGAATATCATCAATATAAACGTTTTCCACCATTTTCATCATTATCAAATACACGTGATCAAAATCGTTCGAGACTTAATTTACGTACACAACGATCAACTATGGATTTACGTCCTTGTACAACACAACAGACAACACGAGAAACAAAATTTAAATTTGAACAAACAAATACAAATCCTGTTGTTATTGTACCTGTATTTGAAAATGAATCACAAACAAAACGTTCACAAAAAAAATTAACTCATCGATATCTACCAAATAAATCACTTCGTTCACAAAGACGAGAAACATTAACAGCTATTACAACACCAAAAATTTCAAGTTAATTATTATTAATTTTTTTTTTTTTTTGATAAATAAAAAAAAAAAAAAACTTCGAATATTTTTTCGAGATGAAAAAAAACCAATAGTAATGTTATGTTATAATATCTTCATAGGCTAAATTATTTTAGGCAATATGAGATATAGAATCTCCTCTTGTTATTTGTGCTTAGTGTTGTTGTTATATTGTTTTATCTTTCTTCTTTTTTTTTTTTTTTCTCATCCACTTGGGGTATACAGATTAGATCTCATATATACAGATCTAATTGAGAGTAGAAACGCGATCGCCTTTGTTCCATTCGCCGACCATCGTGCAAAAAGTGTCTCGCGATAAGAACAACACTTTTTTTTTCCTATCTGACTTTCTCTTTGCCATTATGTCACTCATTGACAGATAGCTAATGAGTGTATACAGATATATCGAATGACGGCTATGGATTTGTAGTCAAAAGGTTGAATGGATTGTCATTGTGTACGCGCGAATTTGAGTGACACAAATTAGTATACAACTGTTAGAAGGGAAAAGAAAGTCTCATATGGATATTTATATACATATCTATGTAAAAGCAACTGTTCAAAAAAAGAATGAATCTAATATTATTGTTAAATTCTCGTATATATATATATTAAGATCATAAATACACAGATGTGTTCTAGTCTTTATTCTATTCATTTATCTTACGTTAAAATAACATTATAATATTTCTTTTCCATTGATGAAGGATATAGATCATTTGTCCTATTGATCTCACATTGAAATAAACGACATGACAACAATTCTAGGAACACACCAAGATGTAATATAATCTTTTTTCCTTTTCTCAATTGATGTACTTATTTGTTCATAGGAAGAATAACGAGAGGCAAACTAATGACAACGTCATGTACCTTTTTTTTTTTTGTATTCTTATAGATCCTTTTGTAGACATAAATAATCATTCATATGCACTAATTCTCAAAGATAAAGATTGATTTTCGAAAGATCGGATTGCACAAGCACTAGTGCCGCCAGAAAAATTGCAAACACCATAGAATATTATGCACAGTTGTGATGGTAGTGTGCATTTAGCCTCAAGGTTATAAGTACTACTCTCTCTTTTTTTTTCTTTTACTGTACAATTAGATAATGAGATGAGAAAAGAAAAAAAAAAGAATTCATGATGGCATGAAGGATAAGGCAGACTGAAATATGCCTTAAAGAAGATCTGTAATCGATAGGATGGATAATGAGAGCAACACTTGCTCTCTCTCGTTCTTAGTTGGCATTGCAATTGAGAGCTTAGTTCTTATCTGACAAAAGATGATTGTGTATAGAAGAAAATGTTTATCAGTCGCCACATTAAGTAAACACTATAGTTCGATCTTTCTTCTTTTTTTTTTTTTATGGAACACATATGGATAAAGATTTGACAGAATTTTCTTTTCTCTTGACTTCTTCGTTTTTTTTTTTTTTGCGATGTCTCTATGACGTGACAACTGTCAATTTGAGAAGAAGAAAAAAAAACGAAGGAAAGAGTGAAAGTAACAGCTGTGATAGTACTCCTTTTCTTAACAGTTACAGAACATGAGATGTAATCAAGGATGAGTGTGTGAAACATAGAATGGAGAGTAAGATGGACAAAAACAGTAACAATAATCAAACTTTATGTCTTTGCTAAGTCAAGTCAATTGACAAGTATACATATACAAATGGGATTAGAGTCTTGTCTGATTTTGAGGTAAGACAATGATGCTATATCGATCGTCAAATGATGTGCGCTCTCTCTCTCTTCTAATACTTCTTTCCTTCTTTTCTTGCTTTCTCTCTCTCTCTCTCTTGGTCGAATGACAACAATCATCATCATGCTCTGTTTCTCTGTGTAGTATAAAAAGCTATGAAAGTAATAACCTCTACGATTATAGTAGACACTGTACCACGGTTTTTCTCTTCGTCACTTTCACTCGTCTGTACGATCGTTTTTACACGCAGTTGACAACAACAACAGTAGCAGCAGCCGTTGCCGTCATAATTCTCGAGCCGATGATAATAGGTAATTAGCTACTATTGTTTTTATACCATTATTCATGTCGCTTGCACCCTCTTACTGACATTATTGCTCTTTTGCCTAATGTATACTGCAATAATGATCACAAAAGAAGAAAAAAAAAACCAACTATTGTTTGCTCTGATGTCATTTGAAAATATATATATGAATCTTCCAAACGAGATAAAGATACAGGTAAAATATATTTTTTTGTCCTTGTTGTTAGAGATTTAATTATAAAATATAATAATTATTATTTAATCTTAATATCTCATTATCATTCAAATCGAGTTGTTAATTTAACGGAAATAATAATTCTTTATTGTTTCTCATTTTGAATATTCTATCTTTATTTGATTCATACTCTGTTAATGGCTCTTTTTTTTTTTAATAATTGTTTGTTGTTTTTATGTATCCTTAGCATTAATGATAACAGGTTTTTTTCTTTTTATTTCCTATTTCTTTGCCATTATCATCATTGTCAAATATGATAACGGCAATAAGAATTTTCCGTGAAAGTGATATTATCTAATGGACAACTATAATATTATAATTTATCTACCGCATAGTTGTGTTCTGTCGTTAAACTACAATAGTGTAAGTAGTTAGTCGATTTTTTTTTTACTGGTGCGCATATACGAATATGCATGTGCGCACGACTTAATGCGTATCAATAAGCTTAGAGTGAGAGAAGGACAAGCAAACAGACGCTGTACAGATTATATTACAACAAATACTTAGAAAGAAAAAAAGAAAGAGGAGGATAAAAGATATTCGTAACAATAACAACACAGCAGTGTTGTTGTTTATGTTGATAGCAATGGTTTTTGTGTATGGTAAATGTAGCTCGAGCGAAATTGGACTCGATAACGATCAATATCTCGTATGTAAGTATATGTTATGTGCTCGAACAAATATTATGATCTGTGACTGGTACTTTTTTTTTGACGATATATGAATGTATGACGTGTATTGATGCAATCACTTTTATTTTTTTAGTCACGTACTACATCGATTAACAATGAGAAGCAGAGAATAAAAAAAAAAAAGAACTAAGAGTGAGACAGCCAGAAATATATATATATATATACATGCACACTTCTCTTTTTCATAACAAGACAAGGGCATTCATATAGTTGTATATGTTTATGTGCAGTTAATGAATAGGACGTGTGAAGACTATTAAAAGTAACGTGAACATTGAAATCTTATAATAAATTTACTATATTATACAAGTACTTTTGTTTGTTATACGATCAAATATATATATATTCGATGAGATGTATAGTTGTTCAATTGATGTCGATGTAAATTTGTACATTATTAAAATGAAAAATGTAAAAAAAAAGAAAAGAAAGTGATTGAATGTCCTTAAAGTATCATCTATATATATACATATACAGATTCGTGAATGCCATCGATTCATTTTTACTGTTTTTTTTGTCTTACAATTAATCTTATGTGTGCTTATTGATAGACAATAAAGAACAACTTGTTTTACTGTAATCTCGTATTAGATTAATTGACTACTATCATCATTTTTCTATATCGATTTCTTGACATTCATCTAGAATCGATATGAGATAAACGATAGTCTATATCTATCTGTATGTACGTCCATCTTGTCCTTACTTGTCAACAATACACACCGTTATGTATATGTATGCATGTATATGTACCATGCATGTATTATCTTTCGAAAAGAAAAAAAAGAGTTAGTTCATGATTAAGACAAAACTATGTCATGTTGTCGTTGTCCAATATCATACATGATTGATCATGATAGCATAGTCGAAATATTGAAAAGATAGATGATGATTCTATATATCCATCATACAAGTTGTCTTTTATTAGTTGTAGAAAGGAGGAGATTTATTCTCTGAGTACGTGTATTTATAGATATGTATACATATACTTGTATTTGACCTTTGTATCATGTAACTTTTGGAAAAACTCGAAATTTCTTTATTTTGTCTTCGTCTTCATAAAAGTATTAGTATTACTCGTTTTTATGACGATTAATGTCTTGATCATGTTAATAGAACCTTTAGCCTTCTTGATATTGTTATTCTTGCAATAAATGCATCTAATACAGCAACATCAACAATATTTTACACTTATTACTAATATGGGCTCTTGTTGTTTGGCTTCGCATTGTATCGCCATACAGTGTGTACATTAAGGTTTCGCAATATTGCAAGAAGAAAGAAAAAAAAAAAAAGGTCAATAGAATTTTATTACTTATAAAATAAATGCTAATTTATTTCTGATTTGAACTCATACTAAGACAAGTAAATGCTTCCTGTTTTATTTCTTTATATACATATATTAATAATACTATTCACAATAGATATTCTTTTTCTTTATATATATATATATATATTTTTGTTTGTCATTATTATCGAAACAAAAATCTTTAGTAGTAATTAACCCATCAACATATTTTTGTTTTCTTTGCTTTGCAGTTTTTTTTTTCTTCTGTCCATTTACATTCTGTATTCTTTTGTCCTTGTGTAAATGGGTGAAAGTAAATATATATCAACGCGAGTTACAGTCAAGTAAGCAAAGAAAAAAATTATCACCATATCATCAAAAGCAATAGTTTTGACGGGTACTGTGAGAACCGAATTAAGATACAACATGACATAAACTAAATCATTTTAACAAAGTTTTTTTTTTTTTTTTCGTTTATTCTTTTGAAAGATGAAAAACGATTAAAGCTCATGTCCATAATCGTTTATTCATTCTTTAAATCATTTGTGCACACGGCCATTTGCCTTGAAATCATCATGTATAATAAGTAGTTCCATTCACTCTTTTAATAAGAAACAATGCATACATGCAACCTTCAATATACTTATAACATTGTACAATTGTACCTTTCTTGCTCGATTACTCTATTGTCATTGAAGATTTTTTCAAGCGAATTTAGATTGTCAAATTTACTTGTTTGTTCATAATATTCTACGATTTATTTCTTA